ATAAATTCCAGTGTTACAGCCATCAAGGGGAAAGAGTCAGATTAAAGATTTCAAAATTTGGAAACTTAAAAAACTAGCCATGCAAAAAAAAGTACAAAAAATACAAGAAACATCAATAAATAATAATAATAATAATGAGCAGTGGATAAAAAGTGAGCAATGGATTAAAGTGAACATATTTAGTGCAAAGTGAAAATTGTATGTGCAAATAAACAACAACAAGGGGGACAGTTTTGCTTATTATGGTGTCCCTAAAGTGTCCATGGTGCAGTTTATTGTCAGCAGTGCTGGTTATGTAGCCTGACAGCAGCAGGCAGGAAGGACCTGCGGTAGCGTTCCTTCACGCATTTTGGGTGAATCAGGCTCCGTTTATAAGACAACAATTTCAACTGAAAACGGTAAACTTTAGTTGCGTTTTGGCCATTCATTTACACGAAAGCGGCGTTTTGGGTGCCTGAAAACGCAACATTTTGAAAACGGGTTCCAGAGTGCAACTTTTTGGAAACGGCAGCGTCTCCGTTGTCATGTAAACTTGCAATATGCAGTTTCTCTGAAAACGGAGACTTTTCGCACATGCGCATTACGGTTCCAGTCACTAGGCATGCTGACCGTCACAACAACAATGCCGAGCTCTGTTTGTGCTGCTCACCCTTTTGATTTGAAGTGAAGTGTAGATCTGTTACTGTAGCAACTCCACCTCATTGTCCATCCAGACAAAGTTATCTGTGCATGCTTTCGCCATTGTGTCTTCTTTGTTTTGGTTTGTAATCACCGCATTGTAGAGGAAGGCGCTTCAGCGCAGGCGCAGGGCGTCATGCCGTGGTGTTGCTTTGCAAATTTACACTGCCACCCATTGGCCTGGCGTGCATACTACAGCGTTTCCAGTAGATTTTGCTGCTCCGTGTGAGCGGGGATTATTTCAATAACGTCGTCATATAAACGCAGAAGTTTTTTAAAACGCAAAGGACAGACTTTTCTGTTTTTAGAGAAACTGTTGTCGTCTAACAGGGTCTCAGTCTATCACTGAAGGAGCTCTCCAGAGCTTTTATCTCCTCCTGCAGAGGATGGGAGTCATTAGTCCTCTGAGATGACAGCTTGGCTGTCATCCTCCTTTCTCCCACCACCTGCACAGAGTCCATAGAGCATCCCATTACAGAGCTGGCCTTCTTGATCAGCTTGTCCTGTCTCTTCCTATTTGCATCCGAGACGCTGCTGCCCCAGCAGACCACTCCGTAAAAGATGGCTGATGCCACCACAGTGTCAAAGAAGGTCTTCAGCAGCGCCCCCTGCACTCCAAAAGACCTGAGCCGCCTCAACAGGTAGAGACTGCTTTGGCCGTTCCTGTATAGTGCTGTTATGTGATTAGTCCAGTCCAGTTTATTGTTAAGATGAACACCCAGGTACTTATAAGATGTCACAATCTCAATGTCCTTTCCCTGGATGTTCACTGGTGTTGAGGGGAGGAGTCTGCGCCCACCACCAGCTCTTTGGTTTTCCCCCACGTTGATATGGAGGTGGTTCCTCAGGTACCAGTCCACAAACATCTGGTTCAGTTCTCTGTACTCCCTGTCCTCCCCTTATGTGATGAGGCCGACTATGGCATAGTCGTCGGAGAGGAGCGCAGGCTGTATGGTGTTGAAAGTAGGGATGTCCCGATCCAGCTTTTTCACTTCCGATCCGATACCGATATTACAGCCTTGAGTTTTGGCCGATACCGATACCAATCCGATCCAAGCTCACTTACTTTGTTGTCAGTCATGTTAGAAAAGGTTTGATCAAGCAATATTACTCTAACAAGAACAACTACTTAATTGGGTTAGTTAGAATGATCCACAACAGTTGGTATGAGAAACTGACCTGTTTATTGTTAACAGGGTTAAATAAACAAACTTTAAATTTGAACATTAACATTAAATAAAAAATATAGCTGGTTTGCTTTGGCTGCTTTGGCCCCTTAATAAATAGAAAATAAATCAACACAAGAAATCTTTAAAATGTCTAACAATGAAATTAAAATAGCAGCAAGACTCCACACACTTGTGCTTTGCTCCCCTAATAAATAAAAAAAAGATTAACACCACAAGACATTGTTGGCATTTAACAAACAATGCAGCCTTTCCTTTTCAGTTATTTTAGTAGTGTTTTTGTAGTCCATCCATGGCTCCAATTTCACTAATTGTGCCCAAAACAATGCCATCAGTGCTCTTTACTTAAACAGTAAGAGTGTAAACCAAATGAAAATATCACTCTCAAAAAACCAGAGCAGAAAACAAATAGTCAGTTAACTAAGTTGACCGCTACTCTTCCTACCCTCCGTGTGTCTGCCGTCTGCATGCTGGCCTGGTGGATTGATAGTAAGAGCTGGAGCGGATCACTGGAATGGACTGCTTGAATCGCGGAGCGCTGGGCTGGCCGGAAAAACTGGATCGGAGTTCTTGGATCGGCATTTTTCCATGCAGTCCGATCCGATGCCGATGCCCGTTTTTTGCTAATATCGGCGGCCAATACCGATCTGAATATCGGATCGGGACATCCCTAGTTGAAAACGCTGGAGAAGTCAAAGAACATGATTCTCACAGAGCTTCCGGGCTTCTCCAGGTGAGAAAGAGATCTATGCAGGGGGAAGTTGACGGCGTTGTCCACCCCAATGCCAGGCTGGTAGGCAAACTGCAGCGAGTCCACTGAAGGGCCTGCTGCGGGGTGGAGATGAGACAGGACCAGGCACTCCAGGTTCTTCATGAGGTGCAATGTTAATGCCACTGGTCTGAAGCTGCTGAAGTCCTTGGGGTGCGGAGCCTTGGGCACAGGAGCTGATGCCATCTGGACCCGCAGCCTTCCTCATCTTTATCCTCCTCAGCTGATCTCTCACTTGACAGGTAGTGAAGGACAAGCTGGAGCAGGGGGGCTGTATGCTGGGGGTGGAGGTGATGAGGTGGGGGGAGGAGTGGGGGTGGTGAGATGAGCAGGGGTGGGGGAGGTGTTGAAGCAGTGTGCTAGGAGTGTAGGTGGGGGGGAAGGTGAAGATGAGGATGTGGGGGGTTGCAACTGTGAAGTCTGGGCCAGGGGAGGGGCAGACTGATCAAATCTATTGAGGAACAGATTCAGATCATTCACCCATTTCTGGTCGCCTCTGGCCTGGGAGTCTGGTTGTTTGTGTCCTGAGATGGTTTTCAGACCTTTCCAGACTCCACTGCCTTCACTCTGCTGCAGCTGTTCCTCCATCTTCTTTTTATATCCTTCCTTTCCCTGCTTGATGTTTCTCCGTAGCTCCTTCTGCACGGCCTTCAGCTCCTCCCTAGGTCCAGAATTACAAACTCTCCGCTTCTCCTTCAAGAGGCTTTTATATCTGGAGTAATCCCTGGTTTGGTGTTGGAGAAGCAGCGTACAGTCCTGGTGGGTACAGTGCTTTCCACACAGAAGTTAATATAATCCGTAATACATGATGTCAGATAGGCCTGTTGCAATATGCAATGAGTCGGTTAATTGCATGGTAAATTAAAAGGGAGACGGTAACTTTTCCAGCCACGATTAATTGCCATATTCATGCGTGTTTGTTTTTCTCATCTCTCTCCACCAAAAAGACTGGACGACAAGAGCGTTCACTTCCGTGCATCATCTGGCAGCCAGGTGAGTTGGTTCATTAGCGTAATGAACGGAGGGAATGCTCTTGTCATCGAGTGTCATTAGGCCCGTTTCCACTGAAGAAGTTCCTGGTACTATTTGGGGGGCAGGAACTACTACAGGAACGTCCTCTAGCTCGGCCCTTTCAACCGCCGTGTCTCCACTGAGAGAGCGGAGTAGGAGGAAGGTTCCTGTAAAGTTACTGGGCTCTGGATGTGATGTAATCGTTGCGCGACCATTTTGACCGGGGCGACGTAGTGGCGTAGGGACGCTGTTAGCCGATAGTGGTGTCTGTAATAACTCACTAAACTCACAAAGTGGCCCGTGAAAAAAATATTTTTTCCAGCGGATGTCTTAGTTACAACATGACTGAGCTAACTGGAGTAGTTTCATGTCATTTCTGACAACGGGAGGCTTTTAAGAGATGACGTCCTGATGTTAGCTTTGCTGCTGCTGTTAGCTGTCCCTGTCAGCTGCAGCCACTGATGCTTTCTAGACATCGTGATTTCCCAAAACTGAATAAATACCACACATAGCAACACAAAACTGCTTTGCTAGCTCAATCATGTTGTAACTAAGATATCCGCCGGAAAAAATATGTTTTTCACGGACCGGTTATTGAGTTTGTTTACATGGCGGTGGAAGCTAACCCTCGTTTGCTGAGTTTTAAAAATGCCGGCTATTTTGTTGCTTTCTGTTGACGTTACATTCCGCCTGGAGTATATCCAATCAGCACCAAGTAACCCCCAAGCCCCAGCCAGGAGTTTCTTGAGGCCGTTCTGAGTACCTACTCAGAGGCAGGGACTTGTTTAGCCCCTGTAAAAGTTCCGGAACTCTGTCCTTCGGGGGTGGTTCCTGCGGTGGAGTCACGCACCAACGGCCCGGCGTGACTCCCATAAATTTACCCCGAAGTTCCTGCGGTGGAAACGGTCCTTTTGTCTCTGTGGGGGAGGCGGGGCTATGGGCTACACACACAGTGTGATCTTCGTGAGGGGGAGAGGAGGCAGAGAAAAAAAAGAGAGTTGAGCGTAAGAGAAAGACATGGAACTTGTTCCTAAACCAAATGCCACGGCCCTGTGTGGGAGTATTTTGGATTTTAACCAAATGACAGAGGGGAGCCCAGTAATTTGGACAAGCCGGTATGCCGGGTTTGTTCTAAAACCATCTCAACAAAAAGAGCGAATACGACCAACTTAACCGCACACCTGAGAGTGAGAGACTGAGAGTCTATTTTTTTGTATTTACTTTGATATTTTTAAGTGTTATTTCAGATAATTAAATTTTCTTTTTTGCATTCCTAAATATTCTTGTTAAATAAATGTTTATTTCTCTTTAAAAGGGTGTACTTGCATCAATATACCTTTATTATCATTATATAAGTTTAAAAAATGATCTAAAAACAGCAAAATTACAACAATAATAAAAAATGGTCTTAAAAGCACAATATTACACAGTATTATCACTTATCGCAATAATTTCTGACGCAATTAATCGCCCAGCAAAATTTGTTATCGTAACAGGCCTAATGTCAGAATCCGTTTAATAATACAGTTTAATACTTAATTTTAGCCTGGAGCAACATGTGAAGAACTTAGGCCAGTCCTATTTTTAGCAGCTGAAGAATATCTCCAAATAGAGGTTGCGTCCGTCCTTCTATAACACAGAAAATCATACATGCTCTTATACCTACCTTGATTACTGTAATGTCTTGGTCACCTGCCTAAAGTTGAGCTACAGATCAGCTCAAAATTGTTCAAAATTCAACAGCTAGACTTTTGACCAAAACAAAATGATCCTCTCAGATCACACCTATTTTGGCTTCCCTGCACTGGCTTCCAGTCTCTTCTGGAATCCATTTTAAAGTGCTTTTAATCACATACAAGGCTTTCAAGGATCCGAGTACATAACTGAGCTTCTCAAACCGTACCACCTAAACAGGCCCCTCAGGTCTGCTTGTCTGGGTCCTCTAACTGTTCCCAAGTCCATGTTAAAGACAAGGGTGATAGAGCTTTTTCGGTTCCTGCTCCTCAGCTCTGGAACAGCCTCCCACTGGGTATCAGATCAGCTGACTCTGTTCAGGTCTTTAAATCTCCTCACAAACATTACTTTTACAGAATGGCCCTTCCTGACAGTTGATAGAATTATTGTGTGTGTGTGAGTGTATGTATTTGCAACCATGTGTATATGTGTGAATGCTTACAGGTATATATGTGTTTATTTGTATATGTAGGTGTACACATATGCTCATTCATCTCACTCTTGTATTGTATTTTCTTCACCTTGGAAATCACTTTGCATTTTCAGCTGGAAAAGTGCTCTACAAGTAAAGTTTTTATTAATGATTATAAATAACAGAATTTGATGCCAGTAAAATCCACCTGGAGGGAACCAACCCTCAAAAAGAAAAATGATAGCCAATGAATTTATTCACTCTCAATTTTGGAAGTTGCTACTAAGTTCTTGACTCGTACCACACACAATAAATTCAGTGATGAATAAACATAATCAAATTAATGCTGAACAATTAATGAATGAAGAAGGACCACTGTGTATATGTTTTAGGTAAATCAGCAAAGATATCTTAGACGTTAACCATTTAAATGGAATCATTTTAGTGTTCAGCAGCGTTGATATTTTAAGATCTATAAAACGCTTGTTAAAGGGCCAGTGTGTAATATTTGGCATGGTTTATTGTGAAATCTGAATCTGAATCTGAATATTCTACCCATTAATATGTTTATATAAATGTATAATTGCTATAAAATAAAATTCATTTGGTTTTCGTAGCCTTATAATTATGCTTTTTTTATATATATATATAGCAAGGGCCTTGCTTTAGAGAGGTCGCCATCTTGCGCCGCCATGTATGTACGGCAGACCGAGCGGACAATCCAGCCAGCCAGAGAACGCGTTTCGCGTGTATAAATGAACCAACGAAGAAGGAAGGAAGGAAGAAGGAGGAGGAAACAGCAGAGAGTGTTAGTAGTTCATCGATAGAGAGTAGTGAAAAGTTTTTTTAGTTATAAAGTTTGCGAATGGACCACACTTACCACGCAACAGGAGAGAATGAACCCGAATCTGCGAGGAAAAGAAGACGCAACTTCACTCCTTGTGATGCACTCTCTGCGGCGCTTTTCCTCCTGATGATATATCTCCCCAGCTATGGTAGCACCGAATCCCATTCTGTGCATTCAGCCTCTCTTCTCGCCCGCTCAGCATCAAACACATGGAGTTCCTCATCTGTATGCTCCGGCTCTCATCTGTATGCTCCGGCTCAAACAGGTATGGCTCTGGGTCTGTGTCCGCTACAAGAAACTCTTCAAAATCGCGTTCAAAGTCGTCCATTGCAGCTACTATAGTCCGGAGATATTGCTAGGCTAAATAAACAGCTGAGCTCTGTTTACCGGCCACGCGTCAGTCAGTGTGCGGGCTGGAGATTGGTGGAGCAGAGAGGGAGGGAGTGCCCACTCGGTATGGTAAACGAGTATGTGTGTATGAAGTGTGTGTGTTACGCCAGTAGAGTCAGAGTTTGGGACGGAGTCTTTTACCCTCTGGAGTGTTACCGGAGTTTTTGGAGTGCTCAAATAAATGGGCCTTTTTCCCGAACGCTCCTCTGGTCTCCTGCTCGTGAGGGATTCATTACAATATCGTAACATGGTTTAGATTTCTAAATAAATATTCACCTCATCGCTAGATAGACCTACTCCTGAAAAACTCGTGCGCAATGCTTTTTGTCCCTACGAGGCCGCCGTCATTTACCCGAGGGGAGGGGTGAGCGAGTGAGCCCTGCAATCTAGAATTTGACCACTGATGTCACTGTTTTCAACCCATTTTACACATTGGCCCTTTAAAGTGAGACTGTGTAACCTTTGAAATGAGGAATAACACAAAATAACACATTCCTCCTCTTACAAATGAAAAGTTAAACACATGCTTGTTAAATGCGCTCAGGAGTTTTGCCATTACAGTCTTCATTGGTCTGGAATGGCCAGTAGCTACTGCTTATTAATGCTCACAATCTTTTATAGCTACAGATATGAAACTGACAAAACTTAGTCAGTTAGCTGACTCTTCTCTTCTATGCTAGTGTTTCATTGTTTTAGCATTTAATATGATTTAATTAGTAGTCCAAAATAACAGTTGTTTTTTTTTTTTTGTTTGTTTGTTTGTTTCAGATTGAGGTGAAGCTTTCGATGAAGTTCACCAGCAGAGAGTTCAGTCTGAAGCGAATGCCTTCACGGAAACAGTCGGGTGTCTTTGGAGTGAAGATCAACGTAGTAACTAAGTGAGTTGACGATGTGTTTTGTGTGTGTTATGCCCATACTCCAATTTTGGTATTTTAAGCAACTCAGTGAGTCAACATATATGTGCTCCTTTTTACAATATTATATATTTTGTTCATTTAGTATTAGTATCAGAATTTTGATTTGTTAATGAATGAAAATGAAAACATTAGTCAAAGAATTATGTCTTTTGTCTTTTCCTAAACACTTTTCCTTAACCTCAGTTGATACATCATGAGGAGGTCAAGGAGAGAAGTGAAGGAAAATTTGGATTTAGGAAAACCTTCAGTCCCTTTTCTGTCTACTCATATTTATCCACATAAATCCTAATTAGTATGATTGTATGAAAATAGATGTATGCATGATAGGCATATTGTTTGTTTTCATGAATGGCAGAATAGTGTGTGGCTTTAAATGTTGCAGGGGACAGCGTTATCTCCTTTCCTTTGGTAAAAGATGGTCCAGTGTACCCTATGCTAAAGGAGATGAGAAAGGAAGCACTGAGGCACCTTTCCTTAGCACTTAGAAAATTCCAGCTCTTATTATGGCTGCCACTTAGATACCTATGGGTAATTTCACTCAGTTAGGAAACATCCTAAACAAAAAAGACTATTTGGCCACAGCCCAGCTCCTCCGAGAGGAGGATATAGGGCATATGGGAAGTCTTTTCAGAGGCACTTGTATTTCCAGTGCCCCTGTGGTGACTTAGTACAGGCTGCACTTACTTTAGCCACGGTTCCTTGTGTTTACAGCATTCATATGATGTGCTTTTTGATAAGTAACACCTTTAAACTTGTTTCTATGTGCCTGTTCTCACCAGGCGGGAACGCTCCAAGGTTCCCCTCATTGTGAGGCAGTGTGTGGAGGAGATTGAGCGACGAGGGATGGACGAGGTGGGAATCTACAGAGTGTCTGGCGTTGCAACTGACATCCAGGCACTGAAGGCTGCCTTTGACTCAAGTGAGTTCAGTTAGATTTCTTATCAAAATTGGAAAAAAGAGATACTTCACATGAAGACAAACCTAAAAATAGAGCTCTGCAGGACTGACTCTGCTTAGAAGTGTTTTTGAAGCTCACTGTGCAGCTTATATGCTTTGATATTAAAGACTGTTGTCTCATCTGTCCTGCAGACAACAGGGACGTGTCTGTCATGATGAGGGAGATGGACGTAAACGCCATTGCTGGAACACTGAAGCTGTATTTCCGCGAGCTGCCAGAGCCTCTTTTCACTGATGAGTTGTACCCCAACTTTGCAGGAGGCATCGGTCAGTCACCACTTTTTTATTTTTGCGTAATTTTGGATGGTTAAGAGGGCGTGAGTGCAATTGCGAGTGGTGACACTGGCATATTCATATGTACTTTTCCCTTACAGCTCTCTCTGACAGTGTGGCCAAAGAGAGCTGCATGCTCAACCTGTTGCTGTCTCTACCAGAGCCCAATCTGGTGACCTTCCTCTTCGTGCTGGACCACCTTAAAAGGTAAATTACTATTAATACATTATTTGAGCTATTGTGTATCAGTTGTTAGTCAGTGTGTATGTCTGTTACCCACCCAAAAAGTTATGTATTTTTGTCAAAATTGTAGAGTGACAACAGGTGAGACAAATATGACATTTAGATGACATAAATACATCCTGTTTGGATTGGGAACTTTTTTGTATCTATAGGGTGAATGATGATTGTGGCCCCAGTTGTAAAGGGTAACTGCTAACCAATTAGTAATTTGTGGTTGTAATAGTAATACAAAACAATTAAAGCAGGACTATAACTTTTAAAGGGTAAAATAACACATTCTTCCTGTTATAGATGAAAAGTTTGATTTCTTGGAAATACAATTAAAACTTGCTCAGTTTAATACACACTGCTAAAGCCCGACTTAAGGCCTTTACACACTGGGGGCCTGATGTATAAATGACACAGAAATGCAAAATACTCGCTTGTGAATATTTCAAAACTATTCATACCTGCAGTGATGCAAATGTGTGACAGTTCTAACAGAAAAATTGACCTTATTCCCAAATATTTGTGGTGCTTTTTTGCTGCATAATATTTGCATTCTGTGTGAAAGCATTCATGACAAAAACAGTTTGAAAAAATACTGTCATGCGAATTATCCACACCAAAAAAGCGCACCAGACGTGGTGCATTTTCTGCGGCTGGGAGACGTGTTCATGTGTTTCAGGTGGGAAGAAATTCTTTGTAACATAGGTGAACATGTCACATGAGTCACAGGACTCTGTTTCACAAATGGAAACCAAAAGTTAAACCATCACCAATTTTAACTTTGGCCACACTTCGTTGCAGAATTTAACAGCTACAGGTTGCAGCGGCTGCCGCAGCTTTCCCTAGCCATTGTATAGCTTTTTTCAGTGTAAGGTTGGTATGACCAGAAGATTATGGTAGTTAGCAAATGTTAGCAAATTTAAGATACATTAGTAAATCAGTTCACTGATTTAATGACTCTTCTCTACCTGTGCTACACAAAGTTAGAGCATTTACTATTAAACCTGTACTTATCACTTGCTGCTCTGCCAAAGTTACACGGGCTAGCTTTTGTTTGGTTCAGACTAATGCGCAGCTTTCAGTGAAGCTTGACAAAGATGTACTGTTCAGGATTTTGTGAGTGTCTGGGGATTTATTGTTATTTTTTGCTTTATTCTTACAGGGTGGCTGAAAATGAAAGCATCAACAAGATGTCTCTGCACAATCTGGCCACAGTTTTTGGTCCCACTTTGCTGCGGCCCTCTGAAAAAGACAGCAAAATCTCAAACAGCTCGCAGCCAATTTCCATGAATGACAGCTGGTCTCTAGAGGTCATGGCTCAGGTACAGCTAATGTCAGGATATTGGTGAGTGAGGCAGCGACGTGTGGACTGTGGGTCTGATAACCTTTTTTCTGTGTTTANATATACAGTTCTTACTGAGTAAGTCAGATTTGTGGTGCTGCTGATATCTTTTGATTGTTCTTTATTTATATAAAAATATTTCAGTGTCTACTGCAGTTGTGAGCAGAGTTTTCTCCATCCTTGATATATATATATATATATACAGTTCTTACTGAGTAAGTCAGATTTGTGGTGCTGCTGATATCTTTTGATTGTTCTTTATTTATATAAAAATATTTCAGTGTCTACTGCAGTTGTGAGCAGAGTTTTCTCCATCCTTGTTGCAGAAAACGTGCGTGTCTAAGGATGTCTCTGAGGATGGTTCAGCCAGCAGAGTTAAAAATTTCCTGGGAGAGATGAAGAAGTCACTGAGCCAGATCACCTTTGACCGCATCATACAGGCTCTGCAGACCTACAAGAAGAATAAAAACCTGGACGTCTTGCTCGCTGAGACATCTGTCTTAACTGAGGACACTAACACTCACGGTCTGCTCCGGGGTAAGCCTTTTGGTGTAGTGAACAGCAGCTTGCACGTATACACTGATTTGGAAGCACCTTGTTACTGGCACCACCCAAATCTTTCACCAAGCAACCAGAAAATAGCAACAAATGTACAACCGCAATTCCAAAAAAGTTGGTAGGCTGTGTAAAACACAGATAAAAACAATGCAATGATTTGTAAGTCTTTTTCAACCTATATTCAGTTAAATGCAGGAAAAAGACAAGATGTTTAAAGTTCAGACTAATAAACTCTATTGCTGTTGTTTTTTTCTGTTTGTTTGTTTTTTGTTTTTTTTTAATTTGCACTCATTCTGAATTTGATGCCTGCAACACATTCCATAAAAGTTGGGACATGGCAACAAAAGACAGGAGAAGTTTTGGAATGCTCACAAAACACCTGGAACATTGGACAGGTTAACTGGTAACAGGTAGTAGTATTATGATTGGGTTTGAAACAGGCTGAGTTGTTTACTTAACGAGCAAGGACAGCACAAGGTTCAGCACTTTGTGCAGTGCTGCATGGGTAATAGTCCAACAGTTTAAGAGCAATATTTCTCAACACACAATTGCAATGAATTTTTCTATTTCACCATCTACAATCTATAGATTCAGAGAATCTAGAAAAATCTCTGCACATAAAGGGCAAGACTGAAAACCAACATTGAATGCCTGTGACTTTGGCTCCATTACAACTGAAAGGAGCATACAGGTTTTAGAGCAACTTAGGCTGCCATCCAGATAACATCTTTTTCAGGGACATCGTTGCTTATTCCAGCAAGACAATGAGACACATTCTGCATGTATCACAACAGCGTGGCTTCGTAGTAAAAGAGTGCAGGTACTAGACTGGCCTGCCTGCAGTCCAGACTGTAGACATCGTCATTCACACAGCATTGAAGATGTGTGCAACAGTATAAAGCACAAAACAACAGAGAGCTGACCAACTGAAGTCATATATCAAGCAAGAATGGGAAAGAATTTCACTTCAGTAATTGGTGTCCTCAGTTCCCAAACACGTACTGAGTGTTGCTAAATGAAAAGGTAGAATCACACAGTGGTAAACATGCTCCTGTCCCAACTTTTTTGAAAGCAGGCATCAAATTCAAAGTGAGTGTATATTTACAAAAAAACAGTAAAATTGACCAGTTTGAACATTGAATTTATTGTCTTTGGACTGTCTTTGGTTGAATATATGTGTAAATCATTGCACTCTGTTTTTATTTAATTTTTTCACACCATACCAACCTTTTGGAATCAGGATTTTACTATATAATATAATTAAGCAATATCACACAAGAGGGAGTGCTGTTGTACTGTATGTCTGCACGGTTGTGATACTGTTGTAGGCATGAGGCCACAGGCCACTTGCCAAAGATAATCACAACCTTGCTGATAAACAATATAGTTATAATTATATAAGCACTTATGGAATGCCTCCTGTCCAATCAGATTGCTCGGTTGGAGCTTACTGTTGCATAACTCTGTGTAATACAACAGACCTGCCATAATTACGACGTGCTACATTTTGAGACACCACTGTAGGTGGTTTTGTGACTCCATTGCATAGCAGGGTTTGAGACAGTCCCCGAAGTGTTTCTAATATTCTGTTCACATCATTTAAATTAATGGAGGAGCAAAAGTATTTAAAACGGCCTACAGTGTTTCAGTACAACGGCTTCACAGACTACAGCCTCATCAGATGATCGTCAGCTTCCTTTTAGCCAATGTCAGCAGCATGGCTCTAGGGATGGCAATGTTGGTCTGTCTGTCTGTCCACCACTGTGGTCTAGACATAAATATCAACAACTGTTGGATGGATTGTAATTAACTGAAGTTTAGACATTCATGTTCCCCTCAGGATGAATTTTACTAACTTTGATCCTCTGACTTTCCATCTAGCACCACTATCGGGTCACAAGTCTAATTTTTGGCTTATGACCAAAGAGCACATAGGAGATCTTCACACTGTAGGCTCCAAATAAATAGTTTATTTCTCTCTTTCTCTTTTTAAGGCAGGTTTTCGATGTACAAGATCTTCCTTTGTGCTCTGCAGTGAACTTTGTTTTGCCTTGCACCTGAGTATTTTTGCCTTGATGTGGGCACACTTGGTCCTTCTTTTGAAGTTTATGAACAAATACCTGCCACAGACTAAGACAATAGACTCTTGGTCTTACTGGACTGTTGTATTGGATTAATTTTAGTGTACAGGTCTGTGACATTTTCTGCATCACTCAGGAGCAAGGCTGGATTTCCGACTGGGTGCGAAGCAGGTGACTGCCCCAGGGGCTTAAACTCAAAATGTTATCAGTGTGTCAGTTATTTGCACATAAATTGATTAATTGCAAATTTCGCAATAATTAACCTGAGGTGTGCCAACAAAGGTACATTGTTACCTACATTTTTGTGGTCCTGTCTTGTAGATGGACCCTATCACAAAATCTTGTTGTAATCTTCATCATTTATATTGTGTTCACATGGTGCAAATTGGCAAATAAAGTTGTTTGATGTCATGCCACAGATGTGGCCTTTCACACTGTTATATCACTATTAGCACACAGCTCTGCAAGCTATAAAACAGCCAGTCAACCAAGGACTACAAAAGGTGGGCCGTAGAGTGATGCAAGCAGAGCCACCATGATTTTCTAAGACAAAATGTTTGTTTCAGTTTAGTTTATACTCATTCAAAGCTTGGTCTCTGTGGTGCTGTCCTAAGTTAATTCAGTTTACTGTCTGTTTCAAATGTTGCACGATCCATAAACCCATTTTGTTTTCTCAGAAAGCAGGGTCAAATATTGCTGGAAATAATAGTAATATCTATAGTGTACTTGTTTTTGCCTGAGCATTCAGACAGTGTGTCTTTGTCTTTCCATGTTAACGTTGTGACTGGTTGATAATGCAGTTACTGTGTCACAGGCCTCTACCAGTTCATCCCCCCACATCACAAAAAGAGGTTTGATGAGAAATGCAAGGAGCTTACGGGGCAGGGCTGTGGATACAAACCATATCACTCACTGTCGAAGGAAGAAAGAGAGACTCTGATGCAGCAGAACGGTATGTTACACTCATCACAACACTGTACTCTTCTTTATATGTTAAAAATGGCAAAATTGGCAACATTGTTTTTAAATAGTTGGTCAGTTATTTTTTAATTCATGTGTTGGTCAGTAGAGTTTCAGAAATTGTGAAAAATGGACATTATCCGTAAAGTCCTGGACGTCATCATCAGATTGCTTCCTCTGTCCGACCAAAAGTTCAGAATCCGAAAAGATATTTATTTTATAAAGGTTAAATTTGTATACAGTGATAGACAGCAGAAAATCCTTATACTCGTGGCTAACGTTAGCTGACTTAAAGGAACACTTCACCGCAAAATTGTATATCAGTTACTCTCCACTTTACCTTGAATTCATAAAGAAAACTTCATTTTTCTCTCATGCCTCCACAGTGAACAAAGAATTAAAAAAGGGCCAAAGTTCTTCATGAACTGAAGTTATTGGAGGCCACATTTAACAGAGACAGAATAATGGGCCTTTGAAGTCAGTAAAAAATTGAAGATTTTGCCTAAAATAAAATAAAAAATGTTTTTCAGGATGAATAACTATCTGTGGCTTCATCTGTACAGGTAAATGACAGTATGGGGCTGTAGGCACACTATCAATGAACATTTGTTTCAAATTTGAAGAAGAAAGCACAAAGTATGACCATTCTACAGTGTTTTTTCCATGAAAAGATCGAGGCGGAGTCGGTCACTCGGCTTCAAAACTGTACTGACAGTGATCAAACAACACACAGCCAGCTTCAGACATTGTACTGTATTGAAATCAGGCGTGATTGTGATAGCTGATGTTTTTGACACAGAAACACCATAAAATATCACCAGTATAAAGCCACATGAAACTTGAAAGTTATGATCCCACTTTCTAGGCGTTGTATCTCAGCCAAAAATAGTGGTAGGAGTGAGACTCTTTCCTTTTATAAGACAGCTAAGTCCCTGCTAATAGCTGTACATAAGATCGCAAGTAATCCTGTCACTTTTCATGTCGAAAAACGGCATGACATGACTTGTCACCACTCATCGCGATTTTGGACTATGTGTGTTTGGGCTACTCTTGTGCGAAATACGTAAGAAATAAAAGAAAAACTCTGTTATTTTTAAAAAGTCGAGAGCTTTCTGAATCCGGCAATACCAAACATCACTTGGTTTGATGAAGTAGTGCACCTGGGAGATACCATTTAAAAGAGGAGGAAGGGAGCAAGGACGTCGGCATCCTGGCGGAGTTAGAGAGGTTTTAACAACAGCAAAACTGTATCAAAACATGTTTACAAACTCTGACTCATGCAGTTTAAGCCTGATTTATCCATTCATATGCCCAGGATTTCCCAAACACATGCAATTTCACTAAAATATTCATATTTAAAACACCTCAGCACAAACAGTTGCATGCACAGCCAAGTAGCATGCCTGGGCACACACATACATTTAAACTCTGTTCAAATAGAGCTCATACACATGCGTTTGCTCAGGCAGAGTCCTGCAGGGATCCATTTTTGAAAACCCGCGCCCACCATACCCGTAAAGCTCAGTTGCAGAACCGACTCGTTACCCATCATTATGTCTAAGCCAAAGCCTCACCCGCCCACTTCCATTAATAAAAGTCTTGTGACCTAACCCTGCACCTGTAATTAAACACACACAGGCTACAGTCACTTACATTAGGCTGGGTTCTCCATTCTTGAATTATAAATCCAACAGAGGAAAAGTCTCTTTAACAGGCTGCACTCGATGTCGGGATGGTGAAAACATTCTACACAATCACTGCCAGAACAAGATCTATTCATCGTCATTTTTCTGGCCACTAGTTTTTGGACATTCCTTTCCAAAATTGACTAAGAGGATTCAAACTGTTCAGCAGGCAAAGACTCGGCCTACTTTGTTATTGTGCCTGTCTTGTGTTGTGTCGTATAATTCCATGTGACAAATGAACGATTGGTTGCACTGACAGTACTGTAGGAATGGAAGACAAAAATCTGTGACTGTGATGTTTTGTGTTTTTAAAGCTACAGCTAAACAGTCTGCTGTAGGTCTTGCCTCCTCCAGCTGGATGTCATCCTGCAGTCATCTGAATACACAGCAGCTCAACAGAGGAGGACACCACCTAAACCAGCAGGGATTAACAGCTCAGACTGGTGGGACATCACATCCCTTTACCATTGAATTCAGTAATTATAAAGTATTTGCAGGTTTAAACATCTGGCTTTATCTGGCTTGACTTATCCATCACAATATCTGGTACTACAAAGCTGGTCATCAACTACTTTAGCCAACTTGAGGTTTTCCTATCCAGCCATGAGCATGTTCATGTGACATGATGTCATATGAAGTGACATCATCAGAACCATGAATCAAGGAGGCCACTTAATATCATGAGTTGAAATAGTACAGAGGTGTCTGCAACTGTGAGACAGTAAAATGTCAGTGGCATAGGATGTAAACGATACTCTGTAATCTTATAATAGAAAATGTAGAAACACTGAAAATATTATCCAAAAATTCACTGTTAGCTGAGACTTAAATTACGTGTAGGTATTACTAGGCTACATGTGACATTAGTAGAGAGCATTTTTTGCTATTTAGTTGGATGATGACGAAGCTACTCTAAATATGTCTCATAAAACACGTTAAAGTAATGTCAGACTGTTTCTGCTACTGAAGTAAAGGGTGAAAAGGTAGCCTAGATAATGACTGATGAGATCTATCTGACCCAAATGTTGCATTTATAATAACAGGGGCCAATTAACAGTGGGTGGATTATTTTAATAATAAAATATTATCTTTTTTTCCTAGTTCTCACCACACCGGTGTCTCATGTTACTTTGAGCTGCAGTGATGTATTCAGAGTGTAAGAGTAGTGCCACTGCGGACGAAAATTAATTTTGCATCACTTCAAATCCTGCTCAAATCATGAAACAATGAAATGATTCTACTGACCTGTAAAAATATATAGACTACTCTTTTTTTCCTTGTTTTTTTTTTTTTTTTTACCTGAGACTGGATTTTTGTCCATGTTGGGACACAATTTATTCAGTGATCTGATTGGTCAGACATGTGGGTGTTGACAGGCTGTTATCCGATACTCAGAGCATAATGTGCTCTGGCTCGGGTTAGCTGTTCATCTTAAGTTACCACAGTGATTTATCCCAGTAAAAAGAGAACCAGCTTCATAGTACTGAAAAACAGTGTTAACCCTGAAGTTACCTCGCTAACTTCCAAATCCTGCTTCGTAGTACAGGCCTCAGATGAAAATAATCTATATCCTCATCTCATGTGATCACTACTTGCATTGCCCATAATCCAACACTCATAACTGGTTAGATACCAGCAGTATAGGAGGCAGCTGGATGTACTGATAACATCAACAACTGTTAGTCAATTAGTCAATATCTAAAATCTTCCTCTTTTTGCAGTTCCTTGAATTTGGTTGACAACTGTAGAAACTATGTGCTTCTTTAGAATCTAACTGTATCCTCCAGCCACAGCGGGCAGGTTTTGGGGCGCTGATACACCAAGCTAACTGTTGAGCTAAAAACGAGCATCTGTCACTCTAGTTTTTTGCAGTGTGTCTTGCACTGTGGCACTAGTCAGCCCTTGTCAGGCCTTGTCGGCTTTTTTATCTTGGCCTATTCAGCCTGTTGAATTGTAACGTCTGGAATGGCAGAGCCCATTGATGAATTAAATCACTGTGATTGGCAGTTCAGCTCAGCGCACAAGAAGAGAAACAGAATTGAGGAAAGTAAACAAAGAGTTAAAGTCAAGAGGGAGTGAGACCACACAAACTTGTTACATAAGGTCAGATTATTTTTTATCCATCCAGCTCTGTACCAGAAACAGTTCATAATTGTTCGCTAGCGCACAATAAATGTCTTTAGTTCTTCCAACATCTGGTTGTGTTGTTAATGTGTTAACTGGCTAACTAACATCTTTCAATTCAATTCAATTCAATTTTATTTATAAAGCCCAATATCACAAATCACAATTTGCCTCACAGGGCTTTACAGCATACGACATCCCTCTGTCCTTAAGACCCTCACAGCGGATAAGGAAAAACTCCCCAAAAAAACCCCTTTAACGGGGAAAAAAAAACGGTAGAAACCTCAGGAAGAGCAACTGAGGAGGGATCCCTCTTCCAGGACGGACAGACGTGCAATAGATGTCGTACAGAACAGATCAGCATAATAAATTAACAGTAATCCATATGACACAATGAGACAGAGAGAGAGAGAGAGAGAGAGAGAGAGATGCAGGTAATGACAGTAGCTTACAACAACATTAATGAAAGTAATAATATTATAGTTATAGTTCTGGCTACTGTGGTACAATATGTTGAAAGTATGTATTAATATCTGACAGTATACTTGTGTGACAATAGTCATATGTGTATAATAACAGTAGAAGTATGACTAATGACTAATGATGGCAGCAGCAGCAGGAGGCATCTGGCAGGACCACGGCAGCAGCACAACCACACACGTCACACTGTCCAGGCACCGCTGCGGTATGAGTTATTCTGAGAGACAGTGGAGCACAAAGGCTCCGGAGAAGAAGCCGAGTTAGTGACATCCAGAATGGCCGAGTTAGCAAGATGCAGTAATAGGATGAGAGTGAGAGAGAGAGAGAGAGAGAGAGAGAGAGAGAGAGAGAGAGAGAGAGGGAGCCCGGTGTATTATAGGGGGTCCTCCGGCAGACTAGGCCTAAGTCAGCCTAACTAGGGGCTGGTACAGGGCAAGCCTGAGCCAGCCCTAACTATAAGCTTTATCAAAGAGGAAAGTCTTAAGTCTAGTCTTAAATGTGGAGACGGTGTCTGCCTCCCGGACCGTAACAGGAAGATGATTCCACAGGAGAGGAGCCTGATAGCTGAAGGCTCTGGCTCCTGATCTGCTTTTGGAATGGTCCTGGGGTCTGTTCGTTTTCCTTTTTTTTAAATTATTACAGACCACCACCATCTTCAGGTGTGGAGAGTTATTTCCTCCCACGTAGGTGCAGAATGTACATGCTGGTTGGCTGTCGGCTGTAGTCTTTGCGGTGTGTTAATGTGTAACTTTTTTGGCCAAGTCACAGGTGATGTGAGGCACCCTAACAGTCAGCCTTTGTTGCCACTAGGTCTTTGATGTTGGTTTGGTGTGTATGGGGATGTAGACCTCAACATAATACAATTCCAACCACTGTACTTGTTATACCTTGGCACTGGCAAAAGCCATGGCCAGAGGCATTGTGTTTTTCTGGGCTGTCTGTTTATCTATCTGTCCATCCCATTCTCATGAATGTGATTAGTGCAAGAAGGCCATGGGTTAATTTCCTCGAATTTGGCACAAATGTCCACTGGACTCAACGATGAACTCATTAGAATTTTATGGTCGTAGGGCACAAAACCTCACAAAACATTTCTGCCATAACTCAAGAATTCATACACCAATTATGACAAAACTTAACACAAATATCTGATAGTATAAAATGGTGAAGTGATGACATTTTACATCCAAAAGGTCAACTTCACTGTGACATCATAATGTTCTGCAAAAACACTTCTGGCCAGTATTCAATATCATATCTCAGGAACAGAAGGAGAGACTTTTGGTCAGATACTGAATTGGTGACACTCATCTTGGGTGTCCACCTTCACACTGTGCTGATTGTATAGATCCTCTGTGCTATCGCGGGAAAGATTTGTGCTAAACATCCATGTTTTAGAATAGGCTCGTTCGAGATGAACTGCGCCTCGCCTGAAAAGTAGACGAGAGCAGGCGGCCGCAGCGGGGGGCGGTGACAAAAAGCTGCGGTGAAGTCGGACAGTTTCCCGACAGTTTCCAGCAGCCTTCAGTCTGTACAGGAAGTCACAAACACACTAACATCCTGTGTGGAATGATGTCAGTTCATTAAAAAAGTGATCAGACCCATATATCAGTTTGTTTTCACCATCAGTCACACAACATATTTTCTGTTCACAGAATAAACCTTCAGATCAGACAAATACAATCTTAATCTCTAAAATTCAACAAAAATGAGTAGTTTATCTAAAACGTCATATTGTTGAGTCGGCATCTGAACCAATGAGCTGTTAGATCAGGTGAGAGCCAGGCGGTGCAGTCGGTGGAGAGCAACTGCAGTGCCTGGCTCTAAAAACTGCGGCCGCCTCACTCTCGCGGCGTTAGCAAGCTAGCAGCGTGACATTTAATCATTATGGACAGGCTACATGACCATCACATCATATTGAAGGAGATCAATATTGATCGCTTTCAATAGCTCTGGTAATTTTGTCCGTCAATCAGAGACCTGTAATTGCCGTTTTTCTGGTCATCGGAGGCCAGGCGATCAATAAAATATTCTTGAATACCTAAAACAAAACACAAACACGTGTTGTTGTTGTTTTTTTCAGTCACGTAGCCTGTCCTTAATGATTAAATGTCACGCTGCTAGCTTGCTAACGTCAGCACATGTAACGTATGCTAACGTTATATTACACAGTGTTTAATGATACAGTCTATTATCTCCCTATTACTCTAGTCTTTCCTGCTTATCGCTCAAACAAATGATTAATTTCTAAATTAATATCGGTACTCATTTAAGATACCTTCATCACTTACCGGAGGCCACTGTCTAACATCATCAATCCAGCTATTCATGATGCTGTCACTGTAGAGAGTCAGTTCACAATGACAGCATAATGAATTGATGACTGACACATGTCACTGCAGCAATGGTGCTGCCGCAAGATGGCAGCATACACAAATCGCTCGCCGAATTCGTCTATACCATACATTCTTTAGACAAGAAACAGCACTGGGCTGCTTACACAGCATATCATCTGCATATCACGCATCATTAATAAGCCTATAGAACTTCGTATGAGCTAGTGAGTTTAAGTGTACAGTGGTGGAAAAAAGTTTTTGGACACCCTTAAAATTTTACACGATCTCAAATATTATCATGAAATATTTGTGGAAAAATCTTTTTTTGTGTTTCAAAAGGTGTGGCTGCATTAGACAGATACAAACAAATACAAATTATATTTTTTTGTTTATTGTTTACAAGAAAAACTAACAAAACTAAATTCTTGACAGTTTCAATATGTCAGTTCTCAACATTGTCGGTATCAAAGTCAACAAATAACAGAGAATGTGTTCAAAACTGAACAAAAAATAAATAAACCATCACATCATCAAATTAATATTTAGTAGTCCTGCCATTGGCACGTAGTAGAGCTCTAATCCTGGCTGGCATGTTCCCCACGAGCCTTTCACACTGTTGAGGGGTAATCTTGTCCCATTCTTCTTGAATTACTGCTTTTAATTCTTCTAAATTCTTTGGTTTATGCTTTGAAACAGACCTTTTGATAATCCACCACAGATTTTCAATGGGGCTCATGTCCGGGGATTGAGCTGGCCACTCTAAGACCTGGATACTGTGCTCCTGCAGCCAAGTTCTACTGGCCTTGGATGTGTGGCAAGGGGCATTATCTTGTTGAAACATCCAGTTTTTACCTCGACGGAACAGTGCACGCGCAGAAGGGAGCATGTGGGTTTCGAGAATGGTACAATACTTGGTAGAGTTCAATGTGCCATCACAGACAGTGAGATGACCAACACCAGCAGCACTCATGCATCCCCAAACCATGATACTGCCTCCACCATGCTTGACAGTAGGTACTGTACATGCTGGAGATAATGCTTCGCCTGGCCTTCTGCGTACCCTCACATTAGTAGGAGGAAGATAAAGCTGGAAACTGGACTCATCTGACCACAAAATCTTCTTCCAATTCCTGGCTGTCCAGTTCTTGTGTGCCTGGGCCCAACGACGCCGGGCTAACCTCTGTCTCTCATTGATCAGGGGCTTCTTGATAGCCTTGTAGGACCTTAAGCCATGATCTAAAAGTCGGCCACGTACAGTGCGGGTGGAACACTGGACACCAGTTTGGTTTGACCACTGCTGCTGAAGCTCCTGTGATGTCATTCGGCGGTTTTGCCTGCACATGCGGATCAGGATGCGGTCATTTCTTGCTGAAGAAACCCTTGGACGCCCAGATCTTGGTTTGTCTTCCAAGCTGTTGGTTCGTCTGTATTTCTGCAGAGTGTATCCAACTGCTGAAGGACTGCATCTGCACTTCCTGGCTATCTGGCGGCAGCTGTACCCTTCCTGGCTGAGAATCTTTATCTTCAGGCGTGTTTCCTGCGTTAGGTTCCTTGTTTTAGCCATTTTTGTGTCTGAAGAACTTTCAAATGTGCTGGCTTTATGTAGACACGAAGCTTGGCAACAAAAATTGTGTCTTTTAATAAAAAGAACGACCTTCATCACTGGTACCAAAATGACCCACTACTCAAAATTTCTTATGTATTTTTATGGAACCAATCAATTTTAAGTTTTTAATGGCTTTTATAGGATTTATTTAGTATTTTGGCTGTGACTGTACTAAAAGAAATTGCACTTGAAGACCTAAGAGTGATTCTTAATGCAATGTTTCACAAATGCATGGGGTGTCCGAAAACTTTTTTCCACCACTGTATTTCTGTTGGAGAATAACATAGTTTAGTTGTTGGCATACCTAGATGAAGTGTATTACATGTGTTGAATAATGGTCATAATTAACATTAACATGATTCTCATTTTAATCAGGCTCTGCTCCAAAGAGTGACGTCCCTGCTGCCTTTATGGCTGATGTGAAAAAAGCCATGGGAGCAGAAAAATCCAATGTGTTCTTCAGGGCCGTTCAGAGCTATAAGAAGACGGGCTGCTATGAAAACCTGGTGACCACACTGGCGAACTTATTCACAGAGAGAGATGAGGACTTCAGCCTTCTAGTCAGTAAGTATTTTACTACATATATTTTAGGGGTCTAACGGTTCACAAAATCCACTGTTCAGTTTGATATGATACGGTGGCATCATGGTTCGGTACGTTTAAGGTACAGCAAAAAAGCAGAAAGGCCAGAGAAATTTCCTTGATTTTTAAATTTTAAGTATATAAAAACAAACATGATGTGGGCTTTGGGTTTTTTGTACAAAGTCTGCCTTAAATGTGCTAGTTGAAGTCTGGGGAAAGCAAAACCAGTGATTTCTTTCTTAACACAATATACTTGTTCAAAAATACATGTGAAAAGACAGAACTTTTTAGTACTGAATCATGGAGTTAGACTATTCATCATTACTTTACTTTACTTTATTACTTCATTACTTTATCATCATTTTTGTGTTCAGGAGGGCCATCCTTAACATAACCCCTCCACTATTATATGAATACTATGTTACAACGTATAAACACAAGCTAAACAGCAGTTACTAACAGACCTTTCAGTCTCTCAGCCTGAATCAGCTATCTGGCCCGTCAACAGTTACTGCTCAGTGCTGTGGGTGGGTGTGTGTGTTTTGTGCTAATGGTAGTTGCTAAAAGAAGCTAAAGTCACGCAGCAGCTCTCTTTCCCTGTTACGAAGGGTGTGTGTTATGCAACCATGTGTGTACCATGAGTATAACGCGTTACAAAGTAACATGTTAGAGTACTTTGATTACTTTTTGCAGTAACAAGTAACCTAACGTTAGTTTGCTGTTTGAGTAATCAAATACTTGAGTACATTTTCAAACAAGACATCAGTTACTTCTGTTACTTTTAGAACGCTGGTCTTTCAGCTCCGAAACAGCAACGGCTGTCTTTTGGTTCTAATAACGGAGATACCATTAAACCTATCAGTCCTTAAGAAGTCATGAAGCTTGTGGATCGCTACATGGTAGAAGAAATGCTGCCGTTGTCTACGGTGGAGTCTAAAAAAAAGGTGGAGGAGAACTCGCTGACAGACAGGTCAGACTCAGCACTTTGCATTATGCCTGGTGACGTTATTCACTACACGACTTTTCTGCCCGTTCTAAAAGTCACTATGTCACATTACAAGATTGTGGAGTCATAAAATCGTGCTGTGACTTGGCCGACAGACATGACGCACTACATGATGGTACTCGCCAGTTATCCCCGATCGTCTTTCATGTCATTAGGTTATTCTTGTCCTTTTTTATTACTTTTACTATTATTTGAGTCACTGTCTGTTCATGTGCCAGCGGAAATGTTGTTGTAGTCACCTAAAAGCGTCAGCAGATGGCAGGAGCTCCATTTGAAATAATGTAGGCAAACATTAAAGCTACTGTATCCTCCACAACCAAGTTTCTACAAATGTTTCACAATAAAAGCCTATTTAGAAAATGGAGGGATTTTCTCAGCCGAGGTTATAAGGCGCTTTTAATTTGAAGGGAAATCAGGAAGTGTTGAGTTTGAAATGACGACGCAATGTGTTAACTTTATGAAGACATCAGGAGCTGATAAAAAGTAAAAATGTGTTTCAAATGAAGCTGGGAGCCTCTGCAGTTGTGGTGAGTAAAAGCCCCGACACTATTTGTTAATGTTATTACTTTATGTCCGACCGTGAGGATGTACCATTGTTTGCTAGCTTGATGCTAATGACAGTAACATTAATTTAGCGGGTTGACAAAGTGCCTCTGCTGTTTCACACCATCATTTCCCCCCTTTTACTCTGTGTGGTAACATCCCTAGAGGAAATACTAAAAATGCTGGGGTGTTGTTGTCATACAGTTTACGGCAGCACGTACAGTCTACAGCAGCAGATCGTTATGTGTGTCTACTGGTCAAAGTGACGGCTGTGATGGGAGAATTGGATCTCAGTGAAGGGCAAGTGGTTCATAACTTTAATTTTGGAGACAAAAAAATGTAGGCTTAGCGCCCTGTGGTCCATTGCTCAATAGGAAATGTAGAATACTCAAAAGTACTTTAAAAGTGCTTGAGTTACTTTTCTCAGGGAGTAACGTTGGAAGTACTTTACAAGTACTTGAGTTACTTTACTCGGGGAGTAACGCAGTAAAGTAACTGGTTACTTTTTAAAAAATTAACGCAGTAAAGTACTTTGATTACTTTTAAAGTAACCCTTACCCAACTCCGGTGGCCACTCAGTGGCTCGTGCTTCAGCTCGGGAGTTGTGTATGTTACTTTAATACTGGGTTAGCTGCTAAGGAGAGTCTGTAGCTGTGTGGTGGTAATGTTACTAACCATCCTGCAACAAGCATAGCTGCCTCCCAGTGTGTCTTAATGGAGTAGAATGTTCTGGTTTGGGGGAAGGAGGGGCAGACAGCATGTTGCCTATTCCATCTTGTGGGCTGCCTTGTTGAGCACAGTGGCACTGAGAACAGTAGATAAAAATCCAGTTTAAACTGTATATTTTATTCTCCAAATGTAATAGGATAGTTCAACGTATTATTCAGTTTCTAATGCGTACCGAACCAAGAGCTTCGTACCAAACGGTTCACTACAAATATGTGTACTGTTACACCCTTAATATATATACAATATAATATATATTATATTTACATTCTTCTTCTTCTTGTTTTTTTAGTTTTGAATAATAATATCTTGTCAGAATTTGTCACTGTTCCCTCACTTCATCTTTGTTTTCTGAAGGATTTGGCGCATTTATTCCTGCTCGCCATAAGCAGCAGTACAAAGAGATGTTGGATGGTTTGATGGGTCAGTCCGTCTCTGCTGCTGACGTTCCTGCCGTGAGTGAGGACCAACAAAGTCACAGTGAAGAACAACCCAATGTATTGTAGTATAATAGAAACATGTTTTTATTTCTCATATCTTGTGTCATACTTTCTGTATTTTCATCTAATATTAGAGAAGAGCTCAGAGGTCACTGAAGTCATTGGGAATCATCTTCATGGAGACCACAGATATCTTTAACAAACCTTATGGCAGTCCTGCCAGTAGATGTCAGTGTTTGACAGTTGGTGGTTGCACTGCACCACAGTGTTGGAGCAGCCTTTCAATCTGAAGTGAAAATGGTTTACGGAATCTTGCTAGGATTTAGAGATGAACAGCCAGCACCTTTGGCAGATGCTGCCAGAAGCTTACCCATGCTTCCAGTAAAAAGTGTAGCTAAACACACCACTGAGATGCCACTGTTTTGAAAACACCAAGAGTGACAAAGTTCTTGTAAACCAGAAGGACTTACAGATAGTAGCCCAGGATTTAGGACATTTGATTGTGAAGAAACATTAGAATCCTGCACAGTTGGCCTTACTCATATTCACATTATTAACAATGTTTTGGGAGATCTGAGGACCAAAAGGTTGTTAAAAATGACTGCAAGTGAACAGCATGACTACAACTATTATTTTTCTTTAAGTTACCAAGTTCTTTCATGCCCATTGGTTTCTGCCAAGAGGTTATTACCAGGTCTGAAAAGTGAAGCTAGTGCTGAAGTGCCTTAAACCTGCATTCTTTCTAATGACTATCAGGGGGCGACTCCACTAGTTACAAAAAGAAGTCAGATTGTGTGGAAGTCTATGAGAAAATGACCCTACTTCTTACGTTATCTACCTCAGTAGACATTTTCATAACTACTTTATGGTCTCAAGTCTTCAGTCTACAGTATGATGTTAATTTGGTGAATTATGGCCTCATTTAAAGGAAAATAGATGATAAAGCAGACAAAGCTTTAGGGCTTGGTTAACTTAAGATTGACAAGTCAGTACCATGGCAGTGTCCTCAGGTTCTCAGACAGATTCAACCCTTGTTACATCACACCTCCACCCTCTCGTTCAAGCATGGTCACTTCTGGCTCCAAAAAAACAAAATGGTTTTTCGGCTTCAAAACGGGAGTCCACAAACCAACGGTTTGACCCACAGTAGCTACGTCCATTATTTTATACACTCTATGGCTCCTACTGAAGATGTAAAATCTTAAAGGGGCCATACACATGTCGTGTTTTATGCACCCTCAGATTTTTTGTTTTCAATGTAGAAGCGTGGCAGGCCAGGCATGCTCAAAAGCCAGAGCGACGCACTTGCGTTCCCGAGCGCCTGTTTTTCAAGGTGTGATGGCTGCACCCTGAGATAAGCAGAGTTCAACTTTTGGAACACAGCAGTGCGCACCGCATGTCATGTGACGAGGAACAACCAATCACAGCTGACAGATACCTTTTCCTTCATCTGTAAATATCAGTCTGTGATAAATATGGAGAAGAAGTTGATCATTTTAGTTCAGAGCTGCCAGAGCTTTGCATTTGTCCCATGGACAATATTTTGGGCCTAATGCATTGGTTCCCAACTGGTGGGTTGCGGTCCAAAAGTGGGTCATAGGTCCATTCTGAATGGACACAAGTAAGTAAACTTTGTGAAAAACACACTTCATATTGAAGTACAGTGAATTTCTAGCACAGTGTTGTTTCATGCAATAGAGTGAGTGACTAACAGACAGCTACTTGACAGAGACAGCAAACTAGCTCAACAACATGGCCAAACACAGGTATGACTCTGAATATAGTAAACTGTGTGGACCTTGAACTAATGACTAAGGAGAAGTCTAGAACCCATGGTTGGACCAGTTGGTAACCACTGGCCTAATACACATTTACAAAACAATGCCTGGAAGAAGATCAGCTCTGTACTCAGGATTTCTGGTATGTATACTATAATATGGTTCTAGTCACGGTTGCTTAGCAACCTCAGATGCAACCTGTCTCTGCGCCCCTTGAAAGTAGGCACAAGAGTACCACCCAGCACCCAACCTCGCACGTTTCATCATCGCTGTCTTTAAGACACAAAACCATACAAAGTGAAGTTACAGAAACATTGTGTGTGTGTGTTTCAGACAGCTCTGAACTGTTACTGCTGACAAAACCCTGCACTCCACTCTGTTCAGGGGCAATATCTGGTCATGGCTTTGTAATGTAACTGTAAAGAAGGTGCACAGCCTGTTCTCTATTTCATTGCTCTGTATTAAATTAATGTCATGAAAATGTCATATGGAGAAGTATTGTGTTGTTTGTTTTTAAGGATTTTTTTGCTAATAAAATAACAGTTGTCTTCTGTAACAGCTAAGCTGTGCTTGCTCCTCAATGTATGGCAGTAGCTTAGTCTGTAGGGACTTGGCTTGGGAACTAAAGGGTCATCCCCATCCAGACCAAATATGGAGTGTGGACTGGTAGCTAGAGAGGTGCCAGTTCACCAGGGCAACTGCTCGGGGCACCTGTCCATGGCAGCCCCCTCACTCTGACATCTCTCCATTTAATGCATGTATCCGTCCTGTTTGTGAATGTGTGTGTATGTATGACAGAGTAAAACAGAGTAAAAAATAAATTGAATTTCCCCTTGGGGATTAATAAAGTATATCTTCCTCTGTCCTGCTAATTTGTACATGGGAAGAGTCTTTTGATGTCAAAGATTATACTCTTCCTTCGCCATAAAAAAAACATTTCTAATATGGAAGCAAATAAGAAATATAAGTATTGCAATCTGTACTGAATGCTTAGAATTGAGTCACTACTGAATTCATAGCATTGAAATATTATTATTACTTTGAAAACCATGTGTCTGAATTTATTTGTTCTTTATGTTGTTCTTTATTTTGCTCTTTGAAATTAAAATATGAAATTTCTTGATTTGCAGTTTCAAAAGCTGAATCTGAATTTATTTATTTTTTCAATGTTCAGAACTTCAGATCCAAAACTTCAAGTTTCATAATTGCAAAAAAAAATAGATCAGGTTGTTAAAATTTGATTGGTTGAATTCAGATCTTAAAATTTAAGTTGCAAAAAAAAAATCAAATAGATCAGCAGGTAAAGTGGAATCAGATTGGACATGAACAGCACATATTGGACAACTTACTGAAGCCCAATCATTCTTCTTCTTTCAGTATTCCAGCTGCTTTTTTAAATCATGACTGACCAGCCAGAAGTCAGTTCAACCGCATTCACCCTTGATTGCCTGTCCTGTCCTGGGTAGCTGAGACGTTATCTTGTAAAATGTTTTCAAGTTGAATTTTTGAGATCTGAATTTGACCTTGATCTAATTCGACTAATGTTCTTTTTTTAATTTTTTCAACTTGACTTTTTAGATCTGAATTTGATCTAATTTGAGCAACCTGAAACTTTTTTTTTAATCCTTTTTATGAACATTAAAAAATGCATTCAAAATTGTATTTTGAAATGGCGATTGAAGAAATTTCATTTATTAATTTAGAATAGGTGAATTTGGAACAAATAAGTTAGTATATGGTTTTCAAAGTAAACTATTAATTCAGTGGTGTGTTAATTTCAATTTTAAGTGTTAAATAGCTGTTGAAATTCAAGAATTTATGTCTCCTATTTGCTTTGACACTCAAACTGGCTGACACCACATTTTAGGTGCTTTTCAATGTTTGATCCATGGGGAAGAAATATGGCTAAATAAGCCTTTCCATTGAATCTGATATATTCTCATGAAATCATCAAAATTCCTAACCATGAAACCAAATATTAAAAATGATGCCATTTTGAAGTATGCCACGAACCAATTAATTGAACCAACCAACAGCATCTAATCAAGTTGCAGGAGAGAACTGTGATAAACTAATGTTACATTACTGAGAGCCAGTTGGGGGGAAAAAATGAAACAGAACATAACTTTGTTCACATACAAAAACTACTACTACCAACCTGCAGGTTTTGCATAATGCAATTGCCTTTTTGTTAATCATCTGGTAGTTTTTGTATGAACAAAGTTATGTTTTGTTTCATTTTTTTCCCCCAACTGGCTCTCAGTAATGTAACATTAGTTTATCACAGTTCTCTCCTGCAACTTGATTAGATGCTGTTGGTTGGTTCAATTAATTGGTTTGTGGCATACATATAAAAAAAAAATCACATTTAATTTGTTAGTGAAATTATAACACACCCACTGCAGTGCATTTCAGTGTGCTGACAGGTTCTGATTTGACAACCAGTCTCAGTAAAGACAACAGCACATGAAAGGTTAAAAGTTTATTTTATTACATAAATATATTCGAACCAAATGAGGAAAACATATTCATGAGGTCCTCTTCACTAATAACAGTCAGTGTCAGTGTCTACTTAGCAGGGGAGGGAGGGGGAATCCAAGGTCTTTCGTCTGGACGCTGTAGGTGGACCCTTTCCTGCACAAGAAGAGCCCAGCAGTGAGCAGGCCTGTTTTAAAAAATGTTCAAAACCCATGTTTTTTTTTTTGTTTTTTTTTTTTTTGTAAACTAATTTTACTTTATGTTTGTGGTCTTAGACTTAGACTTTTTAAAAATAGTCCATACAAACCCAAAGAATCAGGTCAGTGGCTTAAGGAAGTTACGGTGGGCCCCAGTGTACACTATCATGGATGTATTGTCTTGAAACAAAGAGACTTGACCTTGGACAACATCAACATACATATTACCCAACTATCATCATTACATATCTGACAGAAATATTAAAGATGGTATTAATCATTTAATTGAATAGTTTCTAAAGTTTATTTATAGATTTTTACAGCTTATGTAGAAAAAATGTATAATTTTGTTTTTGATAGCTACTGACTATTTAAGAATAATATAAATAAAAACGTAAACCATGGTACAGATGGGTTTGCCTTTTGGAGGACATATAGCAAATGGCACCAATTTAAATTAATATTATTTTGTTATCATTTATCTTTGAACATATATATATATATATATATATACACAGTATCTCACATAAGTGAGTACACCCCTCCCATTTTTGGAAATATTTTATTATATCTTTTCATGGGACAACACCATAGAAATGACACTTTGATATAACTTAAAGTAGTCAGTGTACAGCTTGTATAGTAGTATAGATTTACCCTCCTCTGAAAATTACTCAAAACACAGCCATCAACATCTAAACAGCTGGCAACATAAGTGAGTACACCCCACAGTGAACATGTCCAAATTGTGCCTAAAGTGTCAATATTTTATGTGCCAACCATTATCATCTAGCACTGCCTTAACCCTTTTGGGCATGGAATTCA